ATTATGTAATTCACATTAAAGATAATTAGAAGATGCCTATAAAACTCTTTTTCATGACATAACATAACATAACATAACATAACATAACACAACACAACACAACACGTCAAATCTCTCATATTTGGAGAAAATGGTAAATGCCCTCTGCACCATCATATTATCAAAAAAGTGGAGTGAAAGAGTCTCTCACCTATGCAAAGCCTGGTCATCTGGAAGTCTACCTTTTTCTCTCAGCCAGTAACTCACACTGCAATACATTTTAGTTTTAAATACAATACAACTAAGAATTAGTCATCTTTTAAAATTTAAAAAAATAAAAAATTAATGTAATAAATATAAGTAGAAACAACCTTGCAAGGCGTGTAGTGTGGCGGGTATAAATGTTATGATCGAAAGGTCTTATTTCTGTAGGCCATGGGATAAAAGTTGGAGTGGAAACTTTGCTCCCGTTGATCAATTTCTCCATGATTAACAAGTTAGAAAAGGGAACATAAAAAATTAGTTGTGAAAAAGCAGTCAATACCCTCATCATCAAAAAACAATCTCAACTATGGTATTACATGTCAATCCTATTCCACTAGTACCAATAGGCAGGAGCAGAGGGGAATAAACACTACATCTAGGAATTAATAAGAGCTGGAAGATTCAACAAGTTCATGGTGTAGTAGTAGTAGTACCGCAACGGTAAATGAACAGTTTCTAGGGGAACAAGCTACTCTTCCCATTAGGAAGTGATAAAAGGGGATTCAGTCCACTTTATAGAGGGCCACCTACAATCGGGTGGGTGATCTTAGGCTTGAATAAATAAGGTAGCCCACTTAATTTCGTTAAGGCTTAAATTGGAGTTGTTCATGCCCTAGGGTAGGCCAGTATGCGACAATCACTTTCTCAAGGAATAGTCTAAGGCTAGTTAGAAAGCCATCTATCGGAAGCAAGGGGAGGGTTTGAGAAATGGAGTTAATTAATAGGTTCTGACGGATACCCAACGGGTAAAGGTTCCAAAAAAATGAGAACCAACGGTTCCGAGACGGTTTCGGTTCCGAAAATGGGTACATTATTTAGCTGCTCACCCCTAATGAGCATTCTTGATAGCTGAGATGTTGTTGCATTGTACTCTTGTATATATTCATATTGTTAATCTTTATGTTTTCCTAACCTCCTGACTAGCTAATGTTTTTACAAAAAGATTATCTATTCCTCGGTTTCAAACAATATGCAACAAGTTTCATGTTGCTCCATTGTTTCACTTGCAAGAGATAATAGAATGTATTATGATCAATAATCGTTGGAGTTTGTTTAGAACTCCTTTAGTTAGTCATAAACAATCATCAAGTTTATAAAGGAGTTCTTATAATAGAGTTGGAAATAATGAAATATATAAGAATTAATTACTCTTATATAGTTTTTTTATAAACATATCATAACGTACTCAATTATAAACTTAAAACTGAAAGTAATTAAAAGTCAATGCACTTTTATTAGCTTCATAACATCATCTGGTAATTTATCAAATAATAAGATCCCAAAATAGTTTACAAGCAATGATTATTAACTTGTGTATCTAATATCGAATTAAGATACTATTAAACCCTTTAAATTACAAATGAGCATTAAAAATTAATCGGTTGATCATGACAACAACACATAGACGAAGGGAGTGGCATGCAAGCACCCGTAACAAAACCCCGATTTTGGCAAACTTTCTGGCAACCTTTCTTAATCAATGCGCATGGTCCAATGCATGTTGGATTAAGAGCTGAATACAATACATATACAGTCAATCAATATGTTTTATTATTATATATAATTACACAAGAAATGAGAAATGAACGAAAGTTATCATACCTAAACTTGGAACAAATGCCATGCAAAGAACTGCCAACACCAAAATAGTCATAGCCAGATTTTTTTTTGATGCCAAAGCCATGAGTCTAATGTTTGATATAATAGCTTGATTTGGTTGTATTTAGAGAATTTGTTGCTTGAGACTTCTTAAATAGACATTTAAAGGCACCTTATAAAGAACAATTTAGATCAAGGATTATTCTTTCATTAATTACACTTTTAATGTGTGTCCTTATGCAATTAATTAGCATATATAATATAATACTGGTTTTGTAACCATTTAAAGGTATCATTATGACGACGCCGAATGGCCTGGAAAATGAATGGTTATTTGTTGAAAAATGGTATTTTTTGGTTATTATAACATTTGGTAATTTCTCTTATTCTTTCATCAATTCACTTTTAATGAATTAAATTAATGCTTTTTAATACACTTTTAGTGAGCGTTTTTTTACTATTTATTCTATATTAAAAATTATAACTAAAACATTTTTTCTTTGATCATATCTATTTTAAACCTTTAACCATTTAATTTTTACCTATACATACTAAATTTATTAATTTTAATATGTTATTAAATATAAATATTTTCATATTGCTTATAAATTTTTTTGAACTATAATATAATATATTTATTTGTTAATTTATATATGACATTAAATTCAAAACGTAAATCAAAATATCAAATAAAATTAAAAAATAGTTAAAGGTTTTTAAATATTTAAATATAAATATGAAACTATAATTATTTGAATCACAACTTTACAACAATTGTTAATATTTTAAATAACCATTATGATTAAAGTTAACAAAAATATCAAATAAGTGATTTTCAAATTAATTGCTTATAAGAATAAATAAAAGTAACATAAAACTAACATTTATATTTAATTTTATAAATGTACAAGCCATAAATAGATGTTATTCAATATTCTGATAATCAATTTAGTGTAACAATTATTATTTCATACTTTGCCAATAATGTAACAAATTGAATTTTCTACATCTAGTTATCTAGGGATTATCAAAGTTATTTCTAAAAATTAACTCGTAAAATAAAAATATTTTACATCCAAGGGTTAATCATAAGTTTACAATAAAAAAACATAATTTAAAGTAACATGAAACAAAATCTATTATAGGTCCTTGTGCTCCTATGTTGTTACATGAATATGTAAAACTTGAAACTTATATTTATATATATATATATATATATATATATATATATATATATATATATATATATATATATATATATATATATATACCAATAATTTTAAACTTAAATTATTGGTATTTTATAAATTATGATTTTGGTCTTTTATTGAAAGTTATGTTTTTTTCCTTACATAATTTCTTTTTATAGATTTTGTTTTTATTAGTGTTACTTTTTATTCGATATCCAATGTTTCTAATTTATTTAAACGCTATAAACTTTTACGGTTTTTATCGTGGTATTAACTCACAAAATTTATGTGTATTGTACCAAGCAAGATACACTTTCGAACGTCATTTTCGTCCGTCTACTCCATACATAACTATTTGGATCGAAATTTTATGTTGATATTTTTATGGTCCAGTTGATACGGTATATTCATCTTTATGGTCCAGTTAAAAAGAATATGTTGAAGTCTTTCTTTTTTGTGGTAGGTTCCACACGATATCATACTTTATTTTGAAAAACAAACAATCGTAATAATTCATCACTCCTCGTCTCCTCCCTCCATTTACATATGTAGATCACCGGTTAGCTTTGTTGGAATGATTCCAACTTGATATAAAGCATTGTAAGTGTTTGATTTAGTGTAGTTATCCGATTAGTAAAAAACACATCTTTTACTATGTTTTTTTTTTTGTTTTTTGTTTTTTGTTTTGTTTTGTTTTGTTTTTTTTTTTTTCAGTATATATTCTTCCCCTAATTTCCTTACATTAGATGTCTCCAAATTTGTGTAAGAGGATCTTGGATGTTGTAAACTTGTCATGAACAAACACATTGTTTTGGAGAGTAAATTTGAAGTCTTATCTTTTTTTAAGGTTGCGTTTAGTTACGGAAAAACAATTTTCATTTTCTGTTTTTTGTTTTCCCTTTTCATTTTTCGTTTTCAGTTTTCATTGGAAAATTTAGAAAAAGTGTTTAGTTAAAACTTATTCATTTTTTCATTTTCAGTTTTAGAAAATTAGAAAACACGTTTAGATGTGTATATTTCAATGGGTTTTCATTTTTAGAAAACGATAGTGGTAGTAGGTTGGGATTAGGGGCAACGGCAGGGGCAGTGGTGGTGTCGACGATGGCGACGGTGGTAGTGATGACAGGCGGCGGTAATTGGGGCAGAGGTGGTGGTGATGCTGGTGATGGGGTAGTGGTGGTGGTGATTGTCATGGTAGGTTGGTGGTTGTGGTAGTGTTAATAGAAGTGTGTGTATGTGTGTGTGTGTGGGGGGGGGGGGGGGTTGTGGTGAAGGTAGGTGTGTGTGTGTAAGGGTAGGCTTAGGAGTAGGTGGGTGTGGGTAGGTAGGGGTGTGGTGGGTTAGGGATGTTAAGGTGGGGATAGGTAAAGGTGGGAGTGAGTGTGTGTTTATATTTAAAAAAAAAAATTGGAATTAGAAAAATATGAAAAATAATGATTATTGATTTTTCAAAAATTTCCAACTTCTCTGTAATTTTAGAAAACAGAAATTTTATATTTTCCATGAAAAGTTTAGAAAAATAAACAAACTAAACGCGTTTTCAAAATTCTCATTGTTCTTGGAAATTTTTTCCGGAAAACGGCCCATTTTTTTGCAAGTAAACACACCCTAAGGGTGTGTTTGGTTGTGAAAAACTTTATAATTTTCTATGAAAATGTTTTTGGAAAATAAGGTTGAGTTTTTGTTTTCAATTTTCAATGAAAACGCGTTTGGTTGGATTGGGTGGAGTTTTCATTTTCCTCTTAGAAATTTGGAAAACTGTAAAAATCACTTTTCTAATTTGCATACAATTTGGAAAACTGAAAATTTTCATTTTCTTAGAAAACTTTGGAAAACTGAACGAACCAAACGCGTTTTCAAAATTTCCGTTTTTCTTGGAAAAATTTCCACAACTAAACGCACCCTAAAAATTTCATATTTAGAAAACCATTGTGTATGCAAGCTATGTAAAATGCTTTGAATGAAGACTTATTGGAAGTTGTGACAAATGATAGTATATTTAAACAATATTTTCAGCTTCAACATATTTATTGATGTATGCTTATTTACAACATTGATCCCTCGACAATGCACGTAACATTGTAGATGAACCTGGACTTTGTGAATTGTGATTTGTATCATGCATTCCAATAGAGAAAAAATAATCATGATTGATACAACAGCTTGTTTAGAGGAATTAAATTAATTATAGCTTGGATGCAGTAGTAGCAAAAATAGAGCTTTGTGTGTTTATTATTTTCCTAACAACTCCCACCTGCATTGCGGACAATACAAGCTGCAAGCAACACCATAAATTAAAATTACCATAATTAATAACAATTTGGTAGCATTATTTACAAGAGTAAAGTACGTTGCTATTGCTATTGCTATTGCTATTGTTACCTCTCCCTTTCTATTGAACATTTGACCACGTGAAAAGCCTCTTGCATTGTAAGCAGTAGGACTATCAATCTGTGTATCAGTGAATTCAAAAAACAATACCATTTTCCAATTGTGTAAATGATGATAAATAATTAATTAATAATGTGTACATTAATTAAGTAGCACCTTTATTCTACAAAAAAAAAAAAAAAATAGTGATACTTACCACATATAGTAACCACTCATCAGCTCTAAAATCCCTATGAAACCACATCCTGAAAAAAAAAAAAAAAAAAAAAAAAAGTAAAAGTTATTTTACTTGAAATAGGGGACCAAAAAGATAACAAAAAACTCAAATAAGGACCAAAATTTGCAAGAGAAAACTTTTTGGAAGAAAAAAATAATCAGCTATACTGAGGGACCAAAAGTGTAAATGATGTATTATTGACTTACGAATGGTCGAGACTAATAGAAGATGGAAGCATGCCCTCTCTGCGGTGTGGATTTAGACTGATTTGAATGAATAGCAGATCCGAGTAGTATGCCCCTACACACCTGTTTATTTGCAAGCTTTCTTATTTTTACCAAAAATAGAAACTTTTTTCAATGTGGGCCCTTGTGTGGAACTTTCATATCGATTTGAAAAAAGGTTCCAATTTGGGACTAAATACGGTGAAAGTCAGAAAGCACATGGGCCATTATGCAATTTACATTAAAGATAATTAGAAGATGCCTACAAAACTCCTTTTTTCATGACATGACATGACATGACATAACATAACACGTCAATCTCTCATATGTGGAAAAGACGTAAATGCCCTCCGCACCATCATATTATCAAAAAAGTGATGGACTGAAAGAGTCTCTCACCTATGCAAAGCCTGGTCATCAGGAAGTCTACCTTTTGCTCTCAACCAGTAACTCACACTGCAATACATTTTAGTTTTACATACAATGCAACTAAAGAACTAGTCATCTTTTAAAATTAAAAAAATAAAATAAAAATAATTAGTGTAATAAATATAAGTAGAAACAACCTTGCAGGGCGTGTAGTGTGGCGGGTATAAATGTTAGGATCCAAAGGTCTGATTTCTGTAGGCCATGGGACAAAAGTTGGAGTGGAAACTTGGCTCCTGTTGATCCATTTCTCCATTATTAACAAGTAAGAAAAGGGAGCATTAAATTATGTGTGAAAAAGACGTCAATGCCCTCATCATCAAAAAACAATCTCACCCGAGTTGATGACGTGAAAGCTTAACACCCTCTTCTAATCCATTCTTTGGCAAAAGCTGCAACCATATGATTTTTTTTTTATTATTAAAAAAAAAAACAGAGCATTAATTTGCTAGAATAACAACAAAAAAATAATCCAAAAAAAAAAAAAGACCTCTTCAGGGTCAGGCACAGAAGGCATTATTGGTTCTTGGTGATCAAAACCTTCTTCTCCCCTCTGTCATAAAAAGAACAACAATCAATACATACATGAAAGAAAAGTGAGAAATGATGAGTTATTATTATGTTTCATACATGAAAGGAAGCAATCAAAAAGAAGACAATTCGCTCTTTCTGTACTGCATTCACCCTCCTTGTAGCAAGATTACGCACATCATGTACCCGATCAACTTCATATATAATTGGAACTGCAAATCATCAAGGTAGCATATTTGTCTCATCAATATTATGAATATAAAAGGGTTAAATGCAATGTACTTCCATTGATTTGTTTAGTATAACATCCTACTTTCATTTCTTCCTTTTCCAGCATTATACTTTAGAAACTCTGCACCCAGTTATAGCAATATCATTCATATACAAAGAAAACTGCACTGTCATAAATGGGTAGAATTTATAAAGCCTCAATAAGAAATTTTTTGGAAGAACAATACTGTAAAGGTACAAAGAAATTAAAATAGAATGCGATAATACACAAATATATAAAGGTACATTGCTATTTCTTGCTGTTGTTTATGTATTAAGTTACATAGAAACCGACTTACCATTTACATCCCCTGGAAGAAGGAAGTGAGCATGAAAGCTATGTAAAATCTTAAGAAAATGAACTGTTTTTGATGCTGCAGCCAATGCCTGAATATTATTGATCATAAGAACATGAGAAAACATATATATATATATAAAAGTATATTGAAGAAGCTGTATAATCAATCATATATGTCATAATCACCAAAAACTGTGTGTAATGCTAGCAGATCCAAATAGAAACACAGAGATATTCATACCTGTCCCATAAATTGGCCTCCATACACTTTAGCAGATTTTGGAGCTCCTTTTAAGGTGACTCCTCTGAATGCGTTCACCTTCACAAATAAACAGACAAATAAACTTCATAAAGACTTGATAACTTGAACATAGTGGCAAAAGAAATTGTTCAGAAAACAAAGAAATCAAGCAAGTTTTCTAAATATGTTACATACATCCAGTGGATCCAAGGACAATATGTGTTCCACAGGTGCCCATGTCTCAAGGCTCATATCTGCACTCCAAATTGATTTTGGATTCATCAAGTCACTATATTTGTAGGGTAGCATTAAGCAGGTCAGCTGTAAGTAACCATACTCAAAGTGTTAAGCTTTTTGTAGATGTGAGAATGTTCCATGCCAGATCAGCATGTCATATAGAAAATTACTTACAAGTTACAAGTAAAGCATATCACTTACCTTAGTCAAAGCAATCACATCTTGACCACCACATTCACCTGCAAAATATCCCTATGCTTTAAATATGCATAAAAAAAGTCATTAATTTATACACAATCAAGAAAATAGACTATATTAAATAGTCTCTCACTTTGGGTGAAGTAATCAAACTTTTTCCACTCGAAAACTTGAGAATCATGGTTACTTTCAGGAAATTGACTGGAGACTTCCACCTGCAAAAGTAATGTGTGATCATCAATTGATTAACCTTTAAATTAATTGTCCAGGATTATAAAAAAAAAAATTACCACGCCCTCCCAAATAAAGTATGTTCCACCCCCAGATTCCCCTTCTTCTTTGAACACATAGTCTCCAGAATCTTCAAAATAAAGCATCCGTGGAATCATACATTGTGTCAAAACGTGATAACTAATGGAAAAGTAGTCTACAGTCTACTCCATTTTCAAAAGTCAAAGTGAGCCTTATTGTGGAAGTAGTGGATTATAAGTCTTCAACATATAGTAAAAAAGGGACTTAAACCTTCCATTATTTTAACACTAACTGAAACACATTCAAAAAAATCCATTGTTCTAAAAAAAACCTACAAGTTTGACTTTTCATACCAAACCTAGAAAGCCCGGTTTCAAATTAATTGCAAATTCTATACAAACACCTATTATAGTTTTTAATCTAGCTACCAATTTTTCTCACAAACTTCAAAATTATATCGAATGTAGAGTTTAGAATTACTCATAACATCCAAATCAAAGCTTAATATGATAAAATTTGCTTTAGAATCAAACAATAAAAACAAAAACTGTTAAATCCGAAATTATAGATTGAGAAAATTACTATGATGTTTAACGATAACGTGTTGAGCAATTTTCCTAATAGACGAGCTCGGAAGTCTCTGAAGCGCGGGCACGTCCCCTAGAAACTCGATCACTTGATTCAGAAACGCAAATCAGCAGACACAAAGTCAAATTTCAGGATATAGATACATAGACTGGTAAATATGAGAAATTCGGGTTTACTCATTGGATATACCTGCTTCAGAATCCATTTTTGGGATGTCAAAGAAGCTCGGAGTAGCAGGCTTTGTGCTTGTCGTTATAATATATAGTTATATTATATACGATGAGTGAACTGAACAATGAACCAGTGGGAGAGTGGGGTAGGTGTACAGTAACGATTACTATTTTGGTTTAGACAAAATTGCAAAAATATCCCTGTGTTTGTCAAATTTATGTGTTTTTGGTCTAAAACGAAACGTTGGTGCACCATTGGTTTAAAATTGGATCTTTCTATCGTTTTTGGTCCTTATCTACTTAAAAAGACCATTATGCCCTTATAATTTGTTTTTCCATTTTTTTATTTATATTAATATTTTTAACTAATTGAAAATACAAAATCACACACACTCTCTCTCATGTGAACCGATCAATGTTCTCATTGGTAGAAAGGAGATTAATGGGAGGAAATTCAAACAAATAAGCTCAAAAAAGGATGCATCTGTCAACGTCCCTAAGATCAACGCCTCACTTCCGACCAATGGTACACCCATCACCCGCCTCACCTGCGACCACTGCTACACTTCTCTCTCTCTCTCTCTCTCTCTCTCTCTCTCTCTCTCTCTCTCTCTCTCTCTCTCTCTCTCTCTCTCTCTCGCTCGTTCGCTCTCTGGAAACTCGAGATACACAATCAATCACTTATATACACACAATCAAGAACATAAACTCTCGTTCTTTGTTCTTTCTCCGTGTAACCCAATCCCACCACCCTTGTACACATAATGGCAGTGGAGTGTTTTTTAGATTCATCCCTATAAACATAGTGGTGAAATCATAGGCGAAGATGGTTGAGGGTGACGATTCTTCTTCTCTTGCGTTGATGTATAATTTGAGAAAACAGTGCTGGCGACGTAGATCTGAGAAATGGCGGCGGCATATGAGAGAGGGTCGGAGATGGCCATAACACAAACCCCTAATCGTAGGTAAGGAAGCAACAACACAAACCCCAAATCTTCAGTAGGAAGAGATGTAAGAGACGATAGTGAACAGTGTAGGTAAAGATTTGTTGTGGGTGGTGGTAACCATGAGGGCTAGAGATTTGGATGTTGGCGATTGGGGATTTACAGGTGGCAGAGAAGGCAGAGCTTTGGCTGAGAAGTTGTTCGTCTTTGTCGGAAAATGATGCTTTTTAGATCCAGTAGAAGACGAATGAGCGGTGGGAGGTGGGTCACATCGTTGGATTTTGCATATGGGTCGCAAGCCATCATCACCGGAGTTTACTAAGGGGATGTTATGCACAAGCAGGGGCGACCACGGTGGTGTAGGTGGTAGTTTCCGAGCACTGGTAGAAGAAAGGGAGAGGATAGATCGATTATGTTGAGAGAGAGAGAGAGAGAGAGAGAGAAAGAAAGAGTAGGGTGGGGTGGTAATTTCTTTTTCCATTTCTTTTAATTGAAATAATAATAAATAAAATAAAAGAAATGAAAAAAGAAATATGTAAGGGTATATTGGTCATTTTAGGTGAGGTATAGACCAAAACTACACAAAAATGCCAACCATGGGGACCAAAACTATACAAAGTATCTGAAATTGGACCAGTGGTGCACCAACGTTTCATTTTGGACCAAAAGCACATAAATTTGCCAAGCATAGGGACCATTTTTGCAATTTTGTCTTTGGTTTATTTATAAAAAAAAAATTCATTTAAATATTTTTATAACTTTTATATTTAATCGTATGGTCAAAATCATATTCATTATCCCGTCATTCTTTACAACACGTTTTCCTGATGGGAATGGGATCGGTATTGGGGTCGGCAACCTCAAGTGATTCACCGAAGCGACGAGACCTTGAAAGCAGCTTTTTCAAGTGTCCCCGAGGTCGAGGCATGTCGAGCTCGGCTCGGCAACTTGGTGGGGAGAGAAACATTCGATTAACATTTTTTTACCATCTTTTATATATATATATATATATATATATATATATATATATATATATATATATATATATGTGTGTGTGTGTGCGTGTGTGTGTGTTCAGGTTCATTTGAGATAATTCTAATTTTGTGAGATCGTGAGAACAAATCTAAAAATAATTTTAAAATGCAAAATAAATGGAAAAATCCAAAAATTCTTTTTTTAAATATTATTTTCGAAACTTGAATTAACTAAAAAAAATCCCGTTTTTTTTTTTAAATACGTGAAATATTCTAAATAGAATATTACACTGACATATTCTAAAAAATAATTTTAAAATGCAAAATAAATGGAAAATATAAAAATTCTTTTTTTAAATATTATTTTCGGAACTTGAATTAACTAAAAATAATAAAAAAAAATCATTTTTTTTAAAATACGTGAAATATTCTAAATAGAATATTATACTGTACATATTCAAAAAATAATTTTAAAATACAAAATAAATGGAAAAATCAAAAAAATCTTTTTTTAAATATTATTTTCGGAACTTGAGTTAACTAAAAAAAATTTAAAAAAATAAAAAAAAATGCGTCTCACGGTCTCACAAAATTATGCCGTCTCACATGAACCTAACCATATATATATATATATATATATATATATATATATATATATATATATATATATATATATATATATATACTTTTTTTTTTCAAAATTTCAAATTATAAACCATCAATCTTTAACTATAAATATCAACATCCTTATTTATTCTTCATTCCATTCAAATCTTTTTAATTCAATTCTCATAACTTTCTTATTTTTCATCTTCTTCAAAATCTCATTGCTAATGGCTCATGCGGTTCGTGTTTGGTCTCTGAAGAAGAGATGTTACTGGCTCATTCATGTGTTGATGTAACTGAAGACTCAATCCACATTAACCTCCCTACGACAATCTTTTGGAGGAGAGCCACCGAAAAATACAACCGCGAAGCCCCAATGCCTCGAGGTAAAGAAGAAATCTACTCCAAATGGAGGCACGCAAATGCACTTGCAACTCAGTTTCACAATGTGTTTCATAGGATGATACATGAAGCTGAAAATGGTAAAAATGAAAATACTTTGCTAGAGAATGTTCATGATACTTACCGTGTTGAAACTAATAAACATTTCCGGCTTGTTGAGTTTTGGCAAACTGTGACTTAGTCCCCAAAATTTGCTCAAATTTAAACTCGTTTTTTAATTGAAGTTTTTATTTCAAGTTTATGTTTTTTAAGTGTAAGTGTCTATTAGTTTAATTCAAGTGTGTTTTGTTTTTTAAAAATAAGTGTGTGATTTTCTTTGAAGATAATGAAATTTAAGTTTTTTTAAAATACTTTATTTATATTGATTTCTTTATATAAAATAAATAATTAAAAAAAGTAACATGACAAACATGACAACCCGTACCATGTAAGTGTCAAGTTTTTGCTGTAGTGTGACACATTTGACGTGATGCCTACGTTAACCATGATAAATATGACACCACTCCCTCCAACCTTATAACAAATACATATTTATAGGTAGAGCATAATAAATAGAGTAAGACTATAGAATCATCACTTCAAAAAATACCAATATATTCATAGGTAGAACCTATATCAAGTGTGAAATTGTGAGAATGGAATTACAATTTCAAAAAATACAAATAAGTTTTATAATTTCTCAATTTAAATCATTTTTATATAAAATAATGAATAACTCTCCAAAGTTTTGTCATTTTATTTGATTTGGTTTGTAGATTAACTTTCGTTAAAAGGTTAAAGTTGTAGGTTTTTTTTGTAACTATTTTTGTTTGTTTAAATCAAAAAATCATCAAACTTATGAATCTTTTATGAGGTGAGGCGTTGGAGGTTTTAATCACCCAAGATGGCAACCCCACTTCTCGTCAACCTTATTGCCCCGCCTGATTATCTCTCAAAGGAATGCCAAGAAACTAAAATGAAAATGGTAATGGTTATATGTGGAAAGATCGGGATACATAAAAGAAAAAGGTAATTGTTGTATCTAGGATTAGATAAGGAGGTGCGATAATGATGCGGTTTTAATAATTTGATGATGGTGTTGTAGGCTTGTAGCCTGTAGGAAGTTAGGGAGTTGTTGTTGGGTTCTTTTTTGTGCTTAATCGTGAGTGATATAGGGGAGACACTATTATGGTGTAGGCTTGATTACGTGGGTTTTTTTTTTTTTTTTTTCTTTAAGGTGTGGTCTTGGGTTTGTGAGTTCAAGTGATAGGTAGGTGTCTAGGTGAGAGTGAGAGAAATTATATGATGAGGTTGCATGTAACTTCAAATAATTAAATATTGAATGGGTCTTTAGCTGATGTTATGAACACGATTTTCATGGGATCTGTATATGCATGTGTAAAGATGGATAGGTTTCAGCATCTGTATATGCATACTAGGTTAACCAGAAGTTGGTGTATTATCTTG